TATAAAATGAAAGTGCGTTTATCCATGTCTTCAGTGAACCAACAACCAACTTCGATGCTAACGACCTGAGGGACGTGAATGTTGTCACGTTCAGAAATTGAACGACGGGCACTGAAAGTACTAGAAAGATATCAATACTTTTCTATCTATATTTTATAAAGTAACATTTTGCGCTTACAAAACCAACAAAATCAAAAATTATCATTTGTTTTGTAACCTATCTAATGCTAACGGCTCACCCTCGCTTCAATCGGGTTTGCCTCTAGAAAAACAAAAAACAAATCTTTCCCACGGGAACCGTACATTTTTCCGGGATAACAAGTAGCCTATGTGCTATTCCAGACTATAATTATACCTGTGTGCCAAATTTCATCCATATCTGTCCAGCCGTCCTGGCGTGATTGAATAACAAACATCTATCTAAACATCTAAACATTCACATTTATAATATGAGTAAGATTTAAATGATTGCTTGAAAACTTTTAGGAAGAGTTTATAGTAAGGTGCGTGTAGTGCTCTTCTAGTTATGAATAAAAATCCATTTCTTTTATCGTTTTTATTATTTCTTGTATTCATTTTACATACATACATATTAGAATTTGCTTAAAATTTGAAATTATTCAACTCGCATTACTTTTATGTGTTGTTTCTATTTACTCATCTAGTGAATGTGCGAAAATATTGGAAGTGGAGTAGATGCTGAATTTCAAAGCGTCCATTTAAGTCGATATCTCACAAACATGTATAATATTATCCTCTTATCTGCCAAATGAAAATATATTTTAAGAGATTCTCTTAAGATTCTATTTTAAATAAAACACAAATATAAAGTATGAATAGTTCCACGCAAAACAATGTTTATTTAATAAAATTATTTCGCCATTTAAATAATTTTGAGAAGAGAAAAATATACTCATATCATGGAAGTTAGATCTTACAAAGTAAAATCTCAGGAAAATATAATCCAAAATGAAATATTCTCTATAAATAAAAACATCATAAAACTAGTCAATAAAATAAGCTCCTAAATTGAAAATTTAGTGAAGAGGCTAATTAATTTTGAACTCGAACTCGAATGTAATATTTTATGAAATGGGGATTGATTTTAATTTTGTCTGCGATCTATTTTTACTATTTATCCGTTTTAAATAAAACGACCTTTTCGGATTTTTTTGCAGATTTATTTTGATGTTTGGTTCCCGACGATTTGACTGTTTTACAGCAATTTTGGTCACGGGAGAGACTAAGGTTATAGACGTCTCAAAGGCATATACTTGTTACAGACAGTATATATATATATATACTCGTATATATATATATATATATATATATATATATATATATATATATATATATATATATAAATATATATATATATATATATATATATATAATAAAATATATATATATAAATAATAAGTAAGTAGAAAGTAGCTCGGTTCAGCTCGGTAGGTTAAGGTTATTTTTTTTTGCATATAGAAACTCCTGCACTTAAAAATCACTTTTTTCACATTTTCTTTCTTTTTGATGATTGATATGAAAGATTGATGAGGAGATTGGTGTGATGGCTGGTACCTAAGACCTACTTATACTATATATATATATATATATATATATATATATATATATATATATATATATATATATATATATATATATATATATATATATATAATAAATAAGTAAGTAGAAAGTAGCTCGGTTCAGCTTGGTAGGTTAAGATTTTTTTTGCATCCTGCACTTAAAAATCTATTTTTCACATTTTCTTTCTTTTTGATGATTGATATGAAAGATTGATGAGGAGATTGGTGTGATGGCTGGTACCTAAGACCTAATTTATTATTTTTTAGTCCTTAGTACATTATCTACATCATTATTATTTTTCTTATCAATAAAAGCGTTAATTTTTTTCACCTATTTTATTTTTCGTTTATCTTCGATATCAGTAATAATTTAATATGTTATGATTTTGCCCGTCTGTATGACCAGCCTACCTTGAATTTGCACTACGTCTCTACGTATAATAACATTGTAACTGATTGCTGGATGTACATGGAAGATATTTGAGAAAAACTGTCATTGGGGCTCTTTATTATATATAAAACCCAAAAAAAGGATTTTTAGAATTTTTATCTGTTTGTGCGCGCTAATGTTAAGAACGGCTTAACCGATTCGGGTGCGGTGTTCATTAATGTATTGTGCTAAGCTTCACTTAACATTTAGTATTTGTTTTGTTTCAATTGGTTTATAAATAAAAAAGTTAACTTAACAGTTAAATATTTAAAAATGGATGCGTATCTGTTTGTCTGATGACGATGAAACTAGTTTCCTGGCTACTAGGCTATACGTGAGTCGTGGATAGGATAATTTAGTTTTTAGTCAAAATAGAAAATATGCTAATCGATCTAATTATCTATACATATTATATCATATTTATTATTATATCTAAACAATATTATTTTGTATATAGGTGCACGTGTATTTATGTAAAAATTGTGATATTATTAAAAAGAAAAAAGAAAAATATGAGCAAAAATATAATTGGTATTCAAGACTGATTTAAAATTATGTATCTTTGAGCGATTGAATATTATAAGAGATCAATCTTTTTATAGAAATGATAAAAATTTGTTTGAAGGGAGGTAAATTGGTAAAGAGAATACTTTTTCCTTATCCTCTTGCACGCGTTTGTATCGTAAAATATAGACTGATAATAAAATTTTGATTTATTTTTGTTTATCTTTTTGTTTACCCAATATTTTTAATTTGCCAACTGCCTTGGTGGACTAGTGGCTAGCATGTACGACTGCAGATTCGGAGGTCCTGGGTTCGAGTCCTGGGTCGGGGCAAATTTATTTATTATGTTTCTCTGTTAAGAAATTCTCAATAGCAGCCTGGAGTTTGGAAGTTGGCGATGTTTCACCCCGGAGAGTGCACTTGTGTCTGCGCGCATACTTTTGAACTACAATATCTCCTGCGTAGATGCTTAGTCTCGATGAGATTGGCCACCGTGGCCAATATCGGTCAGGAGGATAGTATTATTATGTATATTTATTATGTTATATAGTCTTTTATCATCGATGTCATCAATTTACACAACTTAATTTAACGTACAGGTGTATACCGTATCATATGGAGGATTGACCAAACTTTAGCACTAACATAGCTATTTACTTGGTATAATCACAATTCAATAAGGTAGGTATTTCTTATACAAATATAAATAAGAAATGAGACGTCAAAATAAACAATAAAAGAAATAATAAAATACAATTGAATTGTGAATAAAAATATCTTAATTGTTCTAATATACAGAACTCTAAATAAAAATCTCTTTGCGATATCTTCTTTTATTCTACAAAATATAAACTTTCATTAAGATCTATACTGTTAACCATTATGTTATCATTATTTTCATCATTACCATCTTGATTTTTTGTTGCAATGTCATCACTATTTTTGTTTTCTTGTATATCCTTTTTGTTTTGTATATAAAACCACCTGAAACATAAAAATAATTAATTTAACTCCTATTTACAAAATTGCTTTCTTACAGCGCAATTCTCTCTAAAATAATTGTTTTACATAGTATCGCATATATGACATAAATGTTAAAAAGAGGGTTTTATTTTTTATGGAAAAATAGTGTGAAGTTTTTTCCTTCTTTAGGTTTGTTGCAGCACCAGAGCCATACTTAGTGAAGTTCAGAACTCACGGTTATTAAAAACTACTAAAAACTATATATTGAATAAAATTATGAGGGACAAAACTTATGTATCGAACATATTTGAAAAAAAAACATTGGAGATAATAAAATATATATAATCTGTCAGCTTCAACGCGCATTACTGCAGATAATTGCTCTATGCATTTTTATTATATTTTGTATCAATTTGATTATTTAAATTAAAATAAATATTTCTCTATTTAATTCTCTCTTTCTTCTCTCTAATTCGCCTACAGCGTTTTACTACTGGGGGTTGGCCTCCCACTTTTAATTAAAACAAAGCATTATTTTACTTCGATAAGTACACTAGACCCAAAAAAACCTAAACTATCCGTTGTACGTATTCGTATACAAAACAAAAGTCATGGTTTACTTTAGAAATATATAAAAACGTGTAAAAAACTTGCGTGAAAATTAATATCGGTGGCACAGTGAGGACAGTACTGCAATAGTAAATGATGCCAGCGTCGATCTTTAAAGTCATCATGTAAATCCAGGAATACATAGGTCCAAACACCATTGATGTTATTACTTCCGTTAAATTAAACACCGACGTCATTTTACCTAGATATATGAATCATTTATAACTATAATGAATCATTAATAAATATAATGAATTTATATTATTTAAAGTAAAACTAATAATTTCATTAATAGATTATTGATTTTACTATACGTATTATTAATTTGTTTAATTTTAAATTTGATATGTACAATATAACACAATCCAAGAAAATAAGCAAAAAATTATGGTAATTTATATTTTATAACAATGATAAATTACAAGTAATTGCACATTCATCATTCAATATATTTACTTAAATAAAAAAATGACTACAGATAAGTTTTGAAAGGTGAGAATATCTAATGGGAGAATATCGGGTATCTCATAATTATATCGTCAGAATGTGAAAATCGAAATTTGCAAGAGATAATTAATTTTATTATAGGAAATTATATTGTAATAAAATATTTCAATAAGAAAATAAGGAAGATGCTTTTTTGTGTAAATAATATAGCTTAATGCTATCATATATGTATATTTTGAGATGGGTTTACTCGTAGAACAACGCGGAGACTGCTCGATGGTTTAAAACTTTACATGAAACGCTTAACAAAATTATTTTTTTAATTTGCCTTCCACTTATATATATATATATTATCCACTGCCAATTTCGCTATTTTTTTAATTTGCCATTTTATACAGTAAAATATTAGAGTTAACAGAATAATAACTGAAACTGAAAATGATGAAATACATATTATGTAGTTATAAACAATGTTTCATACCCAATTCGTCACTTGTTACCAGTTTAGAAGAAACTGATCTGAGTGCTGTAAAGGACGTTGCGTTAAACATTTCTACAGCGACAGCTGAAAAAGAATATACATAGTATAAAATAGAATTATCCTATTAATATTTATAAATGTGAAACTTTGTGAGGACGCCAGATTGGCTGAACAAATCTGGATGAAATCTGGCACAGAGATAGACTAAAGTCTGGAATAGCACATAGGTTACTTTTTATCCCGAAAAAATGTATGGTTCCCGTGTGCTAAATTTGTTTTTGTTTAGGGATGAACCCAAAGCAAAGCGAGGGTGAGTCGCTAGTAGTTTATATATATAAAAGTAACTTTTAGATTATTCGTAAATTGTTGGAGTGGTAAAAGAAAACTTAACCGAATAGTGTACCTCCTTATTTCCTAATTTGGTCAAAAATAAGAAAACAACCCGAAGTATAAATTGATTTTAGAATGAGCTAAATTTAATTGCTTACCGAGATACATCTCTAAAGAATTCCTGGCCAATCCTGTACACAACCCACCGACGATCTTGCTGACAACCGATAAAAGACCTAGAGTTGCATCTCCCCATTTCCATCGTCGACTAAATATGCTGACAGAAATTAAGGCTCCTGAAAAGGATTAAGTATCGTTTTTTGTCATTTAGCATTAATGTGTTTAATATGTAATAAAAGGTTGATATGATGCTTATTTTACGCCTATGATGTTGTATTTACGTCTGAAATGTATGTTTACATATATAAAGAAAATTATTTGTTTCCAAAATAAATTATATATACTGTATGTACGTCATGACAGTATACTTTGTATAGAAGTCATTAGGTAAATAACTAAGATAGATAAAACAAAAGAGCATCATAACAAGTGGTGAAAAGTGACCTAAAATATAGACAAAGAAAGGGCAAACATTTATTATTTTCAACAATCCTTTCTATTTTGAATGGTTTTTTTCCAATTCGGAAGAGTATTTCAAAATTTTAGATTTTCCATTAACAAACAAAAACAAAACTTTTTTTATGAAAAATCAACAATATACGAATATAAAACGGCACTCACCTAGAATGTGTATGCAGATATAGAAAGTATTATAAAAGCTGTATTTCAGTGCATCCCAGTTGAAACGGTAACGAGTGAAGAGGTACCGTACAGTGAATTCACCTGAAAAATTGCTGTAAATCATTTATAACATATTAAATATTATTAATTTAAGAATAGTGTATGTTGCCCTTTTTAACGTCCCACTGCTGGGCACGGACCTCCCTTCAGTACGAGGGGAATCAGGCTATAGTCCACCACACTGGCCAAGTGCGGGTTGGCGGACTTCGCATGTCTTTTGAAAACTTGCTAGGTTCTCTCAGACATGCGGGTTTCCTCACGATGTTTTCCTTCACCGTTACGACAAGTGGTAATAATCATGTTGGAAATGATTCGCATATTAAAATATCAGAGGTGCGAGACCCAGGACATGAACTCGCTTCACTCGGTTTACCAAGCGAACGCGTTACCACTGGACTACCCTGCCTATTTAAGAATATAGCATACGGTTTAACCTGAAAAAAAATACGAATGCTTAGCATTCGTATAATATTTAATTGTACATATAACAAAACTAGTTTTCTAATAATCATACGTACTGAGTCCGTTATGAAATTGTACATACCGTAAGATGGGCCATAAATAAAAGCGATGGAGGCTAGAACTAAGATTGACTTTATTCGACGATTGTTAGGCCCCTTTTTGAACGCTACAGTTATGGTATCTTTTACATGTTTTAAATCAAAAAAAGATTTCACAGATCCAAGTATGGTAGGCTTATCCTAAAATAACAATTAATTTAATTTGAGTGTTTTAAATTTTATATTTTACAGAATTATAATATTTTGTACCTCCTTTTTATCAGATTTTGGTCTTTCTGGATCTTTTAAGTAAAATAACCCATGACATATACTGAAGCAAAATAACAATGAACTTAATGAAAATACTCCATAGTATCCGATATGTTTCAGCAATATCCCACTAAGTGCAGTGCCTATGGGCCCTCCAGCACTTAGACATAAGTTAGCAATACCCACTCTAAATGTTCTCGTTTCTTCACTTGATATTTCACTAATGTAACTAAAAGTGCCCATATATGTTGTGATCCATCCACCAGTAATGGCTGGAAAGAAGGCTTCGAAGAACATGGTTATTTGAACTGGTAATTCGTAAAAATAATAAGCGTTCAGTATATTACTCAAACACGTGAGAAAATCACCAACTATAGGAAGCAAAATACATATCTTCCGTTTCCCCGTTCTATCACTCCATGCTCCTATAAATAATATCAGTAAACTTGGTATGGCGGTCAAAATTATATTTTTCCAAGCTTCCATAGACGCTATGAGTTCTTGAACAATTAATTCTTGACTCTGATATTTAGTTCCTTCTTTTGCAATAAGAGCATTACAGACAGTATCTCCATATTGCAAATTCACTCGACAGGCTTTATCAAGATTTAAATTTTGAGTAGCCAATCTTGCTAGGACACCCGGAACTACGGATGTAATTAAAACTGGTTCTACTGTTATATTCTCCCGTATGTAATTTATTTTATCTCTTAAAGATTTTTTCTTTCTTGGTTTTTGTTCCTTTAAAGGTTCTTCCTCTTTCGTTGCCATTTTCTGCGTGACTCTTTAACAGATGTTGAAGTACGTTTGAGCATATTATATATCAATTGAAATCAAACTGTATGCAGATGCAATCCAAATATTTGTTTGCGTCTGATTAATGAAACATGCTATCAATATTCAAACATTATAAAAACCGAGCATTTGTACTTTATTTGTCTGTAATCATATACATATTATATTATGTTTTGTTACATTTTTACTTTTATTTATAGTTCTAAAATGTATAATAATAAAATATAAATATACTTTAAAATAATATTTATTTCATAGTTTATTTATATTAAATTTTTAGTAGTAAACGTATATCGTCGAAACAACTAACTAAATACATACATTTTATCTTGTTTGAAGGTATTTAATTAATATTAATAAAAACGCTTTTTATGCTTTCTTATTATAATATGACGATTGACGGTATAATCGATCAAAACTATACTTGATAATCTAAGAAAATGCTTAGTCAATCCAAGATTGAGACGTTGAGAAGTTTTCAGTATGCCTAATTATAAATAATTCGCTAAAATCAATTACGTCAAGTCAAGCGTAAATTGGGTAGACGAACAAGGGTAAAGGACTCTAGCGTGTAGAATAACATTATCATATATAAGGGGACTTATTATACAAGATGATGATCGACAAAAGCTGTCCTCAAAAGAATGGCTAAAGAATGTGCAAAAGTATTATTTCACGTGGTTAGAATATATCGTTGCCATATTTTTGTTTTCTATTACCCATATCAAAATCTATCTATACATATAATAAAATTGTAACTAAGCCGAATCTGTACATTAAATATTTTTTGGAAAATCTTATTAAAATAAACATTATTATCCATACAGAAGCCAAAACTATAGATTTTAGCAATTTTGTCTGTCTGTTTGTCTGTTACCGCATCATAGAAAAACCACTGGAGGGATTTTGATGAAATTTGGTATCGTGATAGCTGGTTATCCGGGTCAACATAAAGGATACTTTTTACTGCGGGAAAATATCTCATTTCTGACTAAAAGTACAAAAACTGCAATGTATACTAATATGTAAAACCTAAGAATTTGGTTTTTGCTCATTTAACCGCGGGCGGAGACGCGGGCAATGCTAGTTAGAAATAAACTTCTCTAAGGGATTACGTTAGTGGAAATCATATATTAATAAAGTCATTGTTAACTTATAACAACATGTTTTTTGGAAGTAATAACTAATAAGGCCTAAATTTTTTAATGGTTATATGCTAATTATAGTCTTGGCAGGATAATGTCGTTACAAAATATAAAGACTTTATATATAAAACCATTCTGGGTATTAATTGTCGAGGGCCAAAACTCCATTTTTAAACTATACCTAAAAACATTACCTCCTTAAATATTTTTCTACGTACAATGGTACATCAACCGTATATGGAACTAGAAGTAAGTGTACGAGCTATAAGATATCTGTGATCGTGAGAGTTCATATTTCAATAATTGTACGAAAATTTTAAAGTTAACCCACAAAACTAATTTGAAATCAATAGATTCCTACAGTGGTTTAGATAAACAATATTTCTAGCATAATAACTAAAGACTTGGAAACCAGAATTACACAATTTTACTTTAAAACCCATAGAAAACGGATACAATAATCATAAAAAGGATCCTAAACTACTGCAGGATCAGAACTGAAAAATTGGAACCTCCACAAAACTTCAAAAATTATTGAATTGTCATCGGAACTATTTCATTTTTGCTAAATTTCAACTTTATAGGCCACGGCGATCGTTCAGTCACCAGATTTGAAGTATGCCACAACAATTTGAATAAACTAATAATAATAGTTAAATAGACTCGTTTAAAACTATATTTAAATAAAATAATTCTTTACTGATTTTATAAAGGGAATGATTATTCGTTCTTTATAAAATACTAGCAGAACCCGCGGCCTCGCTCGCGCTAAAACTATAAAAAATCTCTGAAAAGGTAAGTTTCATACAAACTTCCATCCCCTATTTTACCCCCTTATGTGATGAATTTCGAAAAATGTTAAAAAACGTATATATTTAATTGTATTGAAGATCATTAACATCAATTTTTAAGTGATTATGATCATAAATAATTTTTTGGCTTGTATCATAACGTGTTTTTCCGTAGATATGAGATAATTTCCCGCGGTAAAAAGTAGCCTATGTCACTCTCCACCCCTCCAATCTGTCACTCCGTTTCGACGTGAAAGAAAGACAAACAAACAAACACACTTTCACATTTATAATATTAGTATGGATATAAATTATAGGGAAGGACGAATAGACTAATAAATAAGTACCTAAGTAGAATAAGTAGCTCGGCTCAGCACGGTAGATTAAGTTTATTAATTTTTTGCATACAGAAACTCCTGCACCTAAAAAAAATTGTTTACCCTTATAAACTCTTGAACTTAAAAATCGTTGGGACATAAAAGAATAAGTTTCCAGCTCAGTAGGTTAAGGTTTTTTTGCGTATACATATATTCTCCTGCATCTTAAAATCACATATTTTAAATTAAAAGACAAAAAAGTTTTAAATATTCGTACAAACCGACAATAGTCGGACGAATAATGTTCGCCATTATTTTAAGTACGAATAGCAACAGCCCTTTATAAAAATAAAATTATTTGTCTGATATAAGTTTAGAGCATCAAAAATACTTTATCTTAATGTTTAACTTTGGTCATGTAGGCGAAGTTTGCTATAAACATTGGAATAGGCGCAAAATCCTTAACTTTGATTTCGTCTTCTGACAAAGTCTTTAGATTTGTTATAAACAAAATGAAATACTGTCTTTTTTGCATGAATGATCTTAAATGGACGAGTCTTGTGAATCATCTTATGTATTTTTACTAAGTCGTAAATATGTAGCTAAAGTATCGATTCCTTTTGTTATTTGACGCTAAAATAATCCTATTATTTTTTTTCCATACTAATATTATAAATGTGAAAATTTGTGAGGGTGTATGGAAGGATATTTATTACTTAATCATACCAGAACGGCTGAAAAGATCTGGATGAAAGGCACATTTAGATTATAGTCTGGAATAGCACATAGGTTATTTTATTCCTAAAAACTGTACGGCTGTTGTGGTCTGTTACGGCAGGCCAGCCATCGTGGTGTCGTGATTGTGACGCCCGATTAAGATGGAGAAGGTTCCGTTGGTTTTTAATGGGTAGTACTTGCTTTGCCGGTGAGTCAATATTCATTGCCACTAGAGGAAAATTTATTGTACTCATATATGTAATGTATGTATGTGTATCTATTTGGTGAAAGATAAGGGTACGTTATTGTGTTTGAAGAACAGATGTAATCTTACACACAAATGTTTCTAAGACTCTTATCTAGCTTATACTATTTTTATGTAAAAGTGATAAAATTTTTTATGTAAGTAGCCAAAGCTCTGTATCCATCTTTATAAAGAATTGTATTATGAGAAGTTTGGGACTGGATTTTTTAGGAATCTTTATTTGTTCAATCGTGCACTAGACGATTGGACTAGTTTTTTGTAAATAAGTCAAATAAAGACAAATATTGTTATTTAAACATACCTTCGTTTCATTTCAATCGGTGAGGTCTCAGTATCAGCTCCATTTTCTATCTAATTGAGTAGATAGCTTTAAGTAGTAACTATATATAACAGCAAGTAGTAGGTATATTTTATAATATATTTTTTTTATTTTTATACACAAGAGCTCTCAAAGAGCTCTCTTAAGTGAGAGGATGAAAAAATCTTTATGACTCTGCTCATATTAGCCGTACCTATCTATACTAATATTATAAAGAGGAAAGATTTTTTTGTTTGTTTGTTAGTAGGTATAACTTCTTACGTCCGTACATAAGTACATATACACACACACGATTTATTTATAAATATATATTACTTTTTATATTACTATTTATTTTATACAATTTTGTTATAGGTATTTTATAATAATTATATAGTTGATTATTTGATTTGATTAAAAAAATATTTTAATTAATTGTATTTTATAAATAGCTTTTAAGGAGTTTTTTGAAAATTAGTAGTGATTTAGCTTGTTTAATGTATTTTGGCAATTTGTTGTACAGTTGAGGCACTTTCAAACATTACACATTTCTTAGGATTATGGAGTATAAAATATATAGATTACCATAATCTATAATATTAATCATTATCCAATTAAATTTAATTCTCGTTAGTGGTTTCAAAATATTACTTCTATGCTATTTTATAAATAGGAAAATTACGCTATTCAAAAGTTAATAAACTTGATCCAAATTTTTTTATAGTAAAGGTCTGCATTTATAGCAATTGCATAATTACAGGGATGAAACCTTGGCTAGTTCGTAGCAATCGAGTTCGGCGATAGGTACTTCCCGTTGTGCTTTGGGTTTGTGCCTCACGAAATCGCTTTCTTATTGTTACATTATCTATACATATAATAAAATTGTAACTAAGTCGAATCTGTACATTAAATACTTTTTGGAAAATCTAATTGAAATAAACATTACTATCGATACAGAGTCCGAATCTATAGTTTTTAGAATTTTTATCTTTCTGTCTGTCTGTCTGTTACCGCATCATGAGAAAACCACTGGATAGATATTGATGAAATTTAGTATGATGATAGGTGGTTATCCGGGTTAACATATATGATACTTTTTACCGCGGGAAAATATCTCATTTCTGAGATAAAATTCAAAAACTGCAATGTAAAACCCAAGAATATGGTTTTTGGTCATCTGAACGCGAACGAAGCCGCGGGCAATGCTAGTATGTAATAAGTCTTAGAGGTTTTTAGGTTAAAAGTGGCCCAAAAATTTACTTTGCACCCTTAAAAATCTAATGTAAATGTTCTGGAATTGTTGACCAATATTAATTAAGAGAGACTTAACAGTTTCTCGAATGTCTAAAATGAGTTAACGCTCACTTTCGCCATTACCATATAATTAATTAATAAAGTTGCAAAATTGTTCCTGATTGTTACAAGTATTAAAAAGTAAAATAA